AGCAGGAAGTACCACCAAGTCTCACTATCTTAGCTTTTGGAAAATTTGCCTGCTTTTCGAGAAGGTTCATATGGCACTCTAAGAATACTAGGTGTTTCTTCCATTACTCGCACAAGCAGATTATCAATGTAGTCCTCAAGTTCACGAATATGGGTGTCCTTCTTCTTAAGTTGCTCTTTATGTTTCACCAGCTCCTGCAAAACCTCTTCATAAGTAAGGTTACGGTATCCTGCAGTGGCATCAAAAGGATTTCCATCCTACAGATAAGTGTGAAAAAACACCAGGTTTTATTAAATAGTTCAGTGTTCTGAACAAATTCATGCTTTTCATACATTACTGGTGCACCTCTTGACAGAAGCAACTACTTGGCAACATACCTCCATTTGCTCTAGAGCTTTCCCTGCAGTATCCCCACTGGAGCAGACAACGAGATAGGTTTCCCAGTTTGAAGTAAGTTTTCCCACTTCTGAGTCATCTCAAAACCCCACTGTTTTATGAGGTGTATAGATGGTTAATGACTATACAAGCAGTAACCACACGAGCAGTTAGCAGATCCATTTTGGGAAACCACTATGTAGTTAAATACAGAAGGACCAGAGAAAGAGCCCTCAAAATTCACATCCTGCTGTAACTTCTCTGAGTTCTCACCTTTTGAGCGGATCATAGCAAAACTTAGCTCTAAAGGACATCAGCCCTCATCTGTCTTTCATATTCTATTTTCTGCCATCAGTGGTTCTCGAGGACTTGGCCTCTGATTCTTGTAATAAAACTTTCAGTTTTGAACTTCAGCTGAAACTAAAAGGCTGCATCTTATTTGCACCAGAGCACTTAAGACAGAAATGTGTACTACTAAAAGATCTTGCTTGCCTGCTCGCTTGCTTTAAATCAGGAGGGAACCAGAACTGAGCAGTAGGGAAAATAGAACTGTTTCTGTAATGAGTTTTAATGACTCATAAGTGCAGGTATTAGCAGAGATGGACAAATCTGTGCCCTTAATGAAGGGCTAGATAAACTTGAATGTCTTATTCTGTGTCAAGAACATTAGCTGTGACTTGAAATAACCATATTACAAAAAATTTGGAAATGTGTAACTGAGAAAAAGGCTGGGAGAGTCCAAGTATTAGAACTGTTATACATGCTAAGCAGTAAGGTTTATCTGATTCAGAAGTGGAGACATCTAAAAGATATGGAACCTCTAATGAAGTAAAACAATCTCACCTCTGAAATCCTGCTCCTCTAACAGGGCAGAAGAAGAACATAAGACAGCTTTTGTTTACAGTAGAAACTTGTCATTAAAAATGATAAAGCTTGCACAGCTAGGAAGCACACCACATAATAAAGTCATATTCACTCCTTTTCCATGCTCCATTCCTTTTCTTTCCATACAGCTCCATATTTGCACATTGGCATATGTCAAATCATTAAAAAACGCAGGTGGCCAAAGTTTTCAAATAAACCTAATTAAAAGTGACGGTGAACTGCAAATAGCCTGAAGTATGACAGACCAATCAATCTCTCTCCATCACTCATATTCTAATAGTAGCTCTTGAATATATGTGCTTTTAAGGATTTCTCACTACATCTGAGATATTCAATGTCACGTTTACGTATGTGTACTCAGTATTGTAAACTTACCAAGTTACAAGATTGTGATTAATAACTCCCACTTTATTAAAATGGCAATAATGAAATTTATAAATTGACCAGTAATTGATTTCCAACAAGTACAGAAGAGAAAATAACTTCACTTTGTGGTCATTATATTTTTAGTATATTTTCTTCTACAAGAAGGAAGTAGAATTCTCTCTTTTTTATATTTCTGTACACACTGGAAAAGACATCGTTAACACTTCAATGTTTAAAATAAAGGGTTTGCCTCATTTTCTGATTTGGCAAAGGAACATCAATTAAGATGCAATGATGACTTTAATTACTATATAAAGTTTACTGTAAAGTTGTGTTCAATGCATATGCTTTAAAGATGTTTTGTCATACCCATGCTACAAATAGACCCTTGGGGGAATAACCTATAACATTAATTGCCCAAGAAAATTCTAGTTAAAGGATGTTAGTACCTAGAAATAAATATTGTTCAAATTAAGAAGAATTTAAATGTTCAATTTAAGCAAATAAGTGATATTTAAATGTATAAGGAACATCTTTACAAAACCAGGTATTACAATTTTAATGAAAAACATTAATCCAACAATGAATTATAAAGGAAAAAAAGAAGATGTTAAATAACAGTCTATGCGAAGAACGATTGTCTCAGCTACAAAATACTACTGGGGTACACATTGACAGCCAGAGGAAATGGAGTTAGATAAAATGAAGGCCTGGCAATCTCTGATCATCTCTTTATTGTTCTAATGAGGAATTCTGCTCTGGGAATATCATCTAAGCTACTTTCACATCTTTTGTCCTACTTATTCATCTTCCTTTCAGTTCTTAATTAGGCCTTAAAGAGCTCACGCTGCCCTTTCAACTGGTTACTGCTCCCATTTAAATACTGCTTTCAGAGACAGGTGTTGGCACCAGAGTAGAAGACATACAAACATAATTACTAAATGTGATGCACAAGGAAGAAATATAACAACTTGGTGAGGGCTATTATTGCAGAACCTAATAATAAATTACTTCAAACACCTTAGAAAGTAATCTTGAATATTAAAAAAAAAATAATCAAATGGTTTCATTCAAAACTATGGTTGAGATATTGTTTCTTCTCCACCTAATTTGTATTTTGCATTAAATGAGCACCACCTCATAATCCTACAACTGACATTTAGGATAGTTGGTATTCCAAAAGAAAAATCATCAAGGATTTCTTTTATCACCTTTAAATCCTTTAAATAAAACAATTCGCATCTTATTTCTTAAAAGAATTAAATTGATGCTTTTCCCAGCAATAAATCACATGATGTGCAGTAGTACATTTGCAAGCACATAGAAACTGTAATTATGGTTACTTTACAGACAATAGCTGCTAAGTTAAATCAATTTTTTGATGTCGCTTTTTGTCAGAGATTAAGTAACTGCCTGGTAGAATTCAGTTTACTATCATCTGATCAAAGGCAGCCTTCATATACTCTGACATCTCCCACCAGTTACTTACATTATAAAAACTCGGGCATTTACAATAACATCAAATGTTATTACAAATCATTCACATAAACCAGCAAAAGCAAACAGTACAAAGCCATATTTGCTTGTGAAACTTGTTTTCTATATATTCGAAAGACTGAAAACAAACCTAGTTTTAAAGATTTCATCTATTCACAGAAAAAATTCCAGTAAAACCATATTTTCCTTCAAACAAAGGCACCGCATAGGAAATCTGTGGATATTTCTGGTCTTTTCTTAGTACCCAATATATTCTAGGTACTTCTAAGAGTAAAAAAAAAGTATTTTGAATAATAACTTCTTGTATTTCTATTTTTAGTGTTTCCTGAGAGGCTGTTAATTTATCATTTCTATTACTAATCCCATCATATATCAGTTCATTACTTCCATTTTGATTTGCCATCTAAAGATTGTCCTCAAGACTACAGTGATAGGAATCTCCTGTTACAATTAACACATCACTGCCAAATGCAGAGTTCCTGGCTATTATTTCTCCAGAGTCATCTGAAATACCCCAAAGCAACTGTTTTCTTCTTAGTTTAGATACAAAGATCTAATTTTTCTCTTTTCTATACATCATCATACCAGAAATACAATGCATATTGAGTGTAAAACTCTGCTTTATTTCCAAATTTGTATTAAGCTGTTACTTTCTAATTAGATTTTCTGGATATGTCAAAGGAAAACCAAGAAAACCCCGACATTTCATTGTAACAGATTAAACAAGAACTGTGTCAAGCATCAATTAGTTGGCATTTACTGATGGCTTTCCGTAACACTTCAGAACTCACCACTGTTTTCCTGAGGTCCTCAATGCCAGAAGGATTTATATTAAAACTGTGGGAAAAAAAACAAAACCCCAAATATTAGCAGTGCGTACTTATCAGACCAAAGCATCTACTAGAAGACACTACTGAATTCAGCATATAGCTATATAATACTTGACATGATTTGCTTCTTGATTTGATGAATTTAGGAAAAACAGGAAAATATTCAGAATTAAAGGAAATCTTAATATATTTTTTGTTCACGTTTTGTATTTTTCATGTTCTTTTTGTAATAAAATTTGAATAAGTAATTAAGAAACACAGGAAAGGATATTATGGATTGGGCTTCTCTACCTTGTCTCTTACCTCTAGACTTACCTTAAGCATCTAAGCAAAAAGTAATACTGTAAAGGAAATGTTCTGGAAACAGGTCCCTGGGACGAGAATGTTAAAAAACAACAAAACCTTGCACACAAACATGGATTCCCAGCTTTCATGGCAGCTGCTAGAGGAGAAAGGTCCTTTAGAAATTCCAATGAGATCACCATCTTAAATCAGAGCTGAAAAGCCATCTTCTGTCAGCAACATTTGTTTCATACTTAAAATTGAGTAAATAATGTATTATTTTATAAACATAGTGCTTTTCCCACATATACAAAAAGCAAAGCTATTTCATGATGTCGTCATGTTGAGATTCTTTTCTTCTTCAGCTACAAAAGTGCAGTTGATATTGATCAAGGCAGCACTGTGTCAGTGTCAGGCCGAAGAAATGGTCCACTTGTCTCTCAGGTTGTTATAATTATTAGCAAATACCTTCAAAAATCAGTACCTCTATATTCTTATGTGCTTGATGCAGCAAGTTTGGAGACAGAACTAACCCTCTGTAAAATGTGTTCAAAATTCGGGTATGGCTCACAAATACTGCTTACTTGGTAGCACCATTGCAGACGTCATTCTGTCACCTCACAGAATCTACTATTTAATTTAGATTGCATGTTCTGGCTGTCAAGGGTGATGTTTGTTGACTGAGAATAATGCAAAGAGCTACAAATACATGTTTATCCTCTTCAGATTTATTTTGAAGGTAGTTTCAAGTAAAGTGTTCTTTATTTTATGACTGCTCATCACTGTTATCTGAATTTATAAGCCATATATTTAATGGTGTAAAAGTGGAAGGGACATAATTTATAAATGTAAATTAAGTAAAATGTATAACCTGATTTTTTTTGGTTTTTTTTTTTTTTAAAAAGTTGACATTAGAATTCAATTTTTTTTTACTTTACATTTTTTTTATCCTATACATAACTTTTCATTTCCAAAGTAGGCAGTCTTTTGCTCACAGAGAAGTCCCATGAACCATCTGCCAGATTGAGGATATTAGATAAAGATTGGATTACACAAACAGTCATAACTAGAAATCAAGAGGTGTCTGACGAATCAAGTTCTGGCTAATTCCCATTATACCTGTTTGTAACAGTGATCCGCAGCAGTTTGCTGGAGACCAGTTTTGAATGAGGGGCCTCTTTCATCGGGTATTGTCTAAAAAGCTAAAGGCAGGAACCCTCCCTCCCAGCCCGCCTTTTAGTTTCACACTGATGTGTCAAACACATGATGAACTTGCTTCATTCATGGCTGCCTTTCGTGATCCGAGTACAAAAAAATGGGTTAACTGAACTGGATCGAATTAGCCTGGTGAAAACCAAGAATGTCTCTATTTAACGAAGTGTGGCGTTAATTTGGGATATCTTTCTTTTGGGACTGTTTCCTCATGTTAGACAAGATATAGAATAATACAGCCTGACTGCTCAACTGAGTGACTTTCTAAAAGGTTAAAAAAGCAAGATCTTTCATTGCCTTGAATGACTTTATAGTTTCTGTAAAACAAGTTCGAGGACTCTTTTTCATAGCAGCAGCTTAAAAGAAAAGCAGAAGTTCTGACAACAAAAAGTTAAGTTTGAAAATTAGACATAAAATCACTGGCTATAGGGACTAATCTATTTTTTTTTTTTAGCTAATAAAAACCCCTGCAATCATTTCCATAACACTGCAGACATTGTAACTGCAATTACAATAGAGCACATCTGCTTATTTTACCTGAAGCAATTTGAATTATACTTACAAAAAATGAAAAACTATTAAACAAAATATTCCCCCAATAAAACCCTAAACCCCATGAATAGTCTTACTCATATTTTAAAGTGATATGTGGAAATATACCGTGTCTCAAGGAAGAAACAGGTGCTGAGTTTGCATATAACATTTTTACATCAGATTGTCTGCTAAGCAAGGTGGGAGTTCGGTGGCCTCGCTGAGCCCCGCAGGGTTTCTTGCCAGTGCTTCCAGCCCAAGGTGAGACTGAGCAGATGCAGGCTCTCACTGCTGTACCCATAATTCACTGTTGAGAACCATCTAATACCTCTAAAGAAAATACTGTAAAATTATCAATACATACAGTTGGGGGAGTTACATGCTTAGTGCATTGAAATTCATGACAGCATTTGTTCTTCAGTTTAAATTTTATCCCCATAACACATGCCTAAAGTTACCATCTTGTTTGATTACTGGTAATAGCTTACAGAAAACGCCTCTAGGACTACAGCCCACACACTGTACAACCATCATAAGCCTCCTTCAAGCAGCCATTTCCTTGACATCCCAAGAGCATTCTGAAATCATTGATCTCAACAATTATAAAAAATGTCATTTTTTACTGTGTTATAATCAAATCACAGCTCATACTGATAGTTATACTCCCATCTCTATTTTTTCCCCAGGGTTTGATAAATCGGCAAGCAACTTTTGCTATAGAAGCATGAAATCCTATGCTCACAGCTTGGGAAAAAGTTTCTTTATGTGTTGCGTTTTTTTGTTTTGAGTGCAGTTTACTGTGAACAGTGATTGTAAAAAACTGGCATAGTGGGACTCTGTAACTTATTGGTTCTCAATTATGCCCAAACTGAATTTGCTCAGTTTACAAGTAAAAAGATGTTTCTAACAAATGGCCTTTCTGCCAACTCACTCTGAGAACTACAGTGAAACTGGGTTTCTCTGGCTCATTGTCATTAACACTGTGTGTAACTTCCAGGTATTGTTATACCCAAGTCTAACAGCTCCTTACTGGTCATACCTTCCAACCTACACAAACTGGCTCTTTCTGCTCACTGAAAAGAGCTCATCTACCTTCTTGTTCCTGTTCCCTTCATCGCCTCAAGGAATCAAGTTATCATCTACCTCTTCCACTTACCCAGACAGAGAAGGCCCCCTTCTCCACCACTGTGGAGTTTCATGTGCCTCAAGGTGATGACCCAGGTCCTGTAATGATTTTTAACAGTTTGTCTTTTACAAATAATAAACTTCCATTCACTCCAATCACCTTCAAGAAAGTCTGGAACTAGTAAAAGGGAGGTAAATCACATCAGTGTAGATTCAAAATCAGTTACAGAGGTGACACAGAGGATCAGAGAGATGACACCCAACCTCTACACTGCCCTACTATAGGTAGAACAGACAATCTTCAATCTAGCACAATTAGTCATGAATCCCATTTCACTCATCTGCAAATTCAGTCAGTTTCCTCAACAATTACTTTATATCAGACAGACATATAAATCTGATTCTATAGAGTGTTTTGGATGTCTTTCATAATCATAGCAAGCGTATTATTTTATACTTGTCATTTTCCCTATTTAAATACATTAGAACTACTTATTTTACCTATTTAAATACATGAGAACTACATGAAGCTTACTTTTTTTTTCCCCTAACACCTATTTTTTATGAGGTGATTAAATACATTGTGCGCTATTTGCAGTTTGTACAGAAACTTCAGTGGAGTTGAGGATGTATCACAAGCTCAAGTTTATGACTAGACCTTGTAATTTTGTCTTTGAAGTTTAACAGTAGTTAAAAATTCAAACATTAGGTCTAGTGGCTGCTTAAATATTTAGCTTCCCAATGCCTAAAGATTAAAACAATCTCTAAAAAATCTTTCCCATAACTGATTTAAACATTTTAGTGCCTGAACCATTTACTCTGACAACATAATGAATGGGAATAAGACTCCTAAATTATGCTGTATGGAAAGTGTATTTTCTTAATGGAACAAAACCTTTTTAGTTATCTTGTGCTATTCATATTAGTTATATGATCATCGTACTGTATACTATTAGAAATTAAAACTAGGATATTTACATTAATCATTACTGTTCCAACTATGGAAACCTTCCATCTTAACTCGCCATCATGTAAAATATCCATTATACCAATAAGCTCAGTCTGACCTTTCAGTTTCTTTAATACGGAATGTCTGTGTACAGGTAATTAGCAAATCTCTATCTACTCTGTTCCTTTTCTATTAGCGTCAAAATATTCCTATTCCTACTTCTTGGTCTTTGGACTGATTCTTACTACTATGCTTATGCATTTTTCTTTGGATTCTCACAACACATATCACAACTTTGAAATATTAGGATGCAAGTTATTACCAATGTACTAGAAAAACAAAAGAAACTAATAAAATCAGATACAGTTAATGAAATTCAGAAACTTAGCTTTCCATAGAATATTATTAGCCTGCTGTGCCTGGCAATGCAGACATCACTTTATACTCTGAGAAAGAATGACTATCATGTCTGGCAACTAAGCAAGTATGGAGTAAGCATATTACCATTTATTTCACAATCAGATTCTGGGGAACATCACTTAAGACACTTCACTATATAAATTGTCCTGCTGTCAAGCCATGTTCTGTTGCCTTTTGGAGTTTGTGTAACCCCAGGAGGACACAAAAAGAGCATCGGGTTTTGTTGCTATCACTCCATTTTCTTATTACTATTAAATCTCATGCCAAGAGCTAAGACACTGGATCAAAACCCCTGAACTAAGAGACGCTTTTCCTGCAAATAATTTGTTCTCAAGCTACATACTCTTTACATAGAGTCCTTTGGAAATACTCTGTTCATGCATATAGTGCTGCTCTCTATGGAGCCCTTTAAAGATGGCAGAAGGTTCCATGAGATAAAGAAGTTACAGCTTCTGAATATAGAGCTCAATAATGGTCCTGAACAATAT